GTCTTACAATACGGTCTGAAGCACGGTTTGTGTTCATGGCTGTTCGTAGTTGTATGTTTGTGTTGTTATGTGGGATTTTGACGAGTCTTCTGTTCACTTAGCACATATCCTGACTATTATCTTTGACCGACTTATGATCCCCTGTCATAACCCTAGGTCATACTCCAATCCAAAAACTAAGTTTAACATCCAAATCTTACCTTGCATTTGATCTTATAAATAGGCACGACATGACCCTATTCTTAACCCTCATCGCACTTCAAACCGCATGCGTCATTTAAGGTTAACCGAACCCTTGCGCATATACCACGTAAAGATTTAAATTTCAACTACAGAAATCATGATAAGTTGGGAACAGGAATAAAAATTCCCTTCTAGAAGTAACAAGAAAGTTCTTGTCGTTTTGGCTAGTCAATTGATGCTCCCACCGGTTTCACTACGGACAACATGCATCAATTTGATAGATTTACTTTCCACTTCGCTAAATTGCTATTGCGCTATTTACGTCATATCCATGCCAAATCTATCATTAGACTATGAAGCAGACTTTTCGGGAGTTATTGCTGACAAAATAGTTCGGTATCTTTTCCTGGATGACTTTAGTTTTTTAACTTAGGTGCTTTCCTGGAAAAAAATACCCTTAACTCCTGAAAACTGCACCGATAATAGCCAGGCTGTTAGGTTGTTCTTCAGTATCATACATCATATGTTTATTTCCTCACATCTAAAGCAATGACCGAATGTGCCTGGGTTTGTCGCAAAATAAATAAGGTTTTTAGTGTTCGCTGCATAGAAACATGTCCAAAATTTTGCTGCGTTCAATGATTTCCAGTATGCTCCTTCGTCTCGTTATCTAATATAACCTTTTTTTAACAAGGGGCCGTACACGCTTATAAATTTTACTCAGTTCTCGTTCTGGGCTAATTGTATGGCTGTGATCGCCTATAGAAAGCATAATGTGGCACATTGGTGAGTGCATTGCTCTTTATTGTCAAAGGTACCGGACAAATTCCTATGGGTGGTGCTCATACGCGTTTCTTTGCTGGGACATAATGAGTCGATTTTGCTAATTTTCAGCTGTCTCGGAATCGTGCTTTATATTTTGAAGTGAAACCCAAGATTGATAAACATTCGTCAGAAGTATGAAGCAACAAAGAAATTGACTAAAACCGTCGAAGGATATCAACTGCTTTGGAGAAAACCAGTTCTAGAGTGTGACTTGTATATGCAGGTGCGTTTCATAATTTCACTATAGAGGGTGAGTGTAAGCCACTCGAGTCGCTTTTTCCTCTGGATACTCATCAGTGAACGGCAGCTCCAGATCTCCCTTTACATTACGCGTAAACAGTGTGATCCAGTCGAGGTCCATTAGATCGTCACCAATCTGGTCAAAAGTTCCTCGCTGATTATTTCACCTTTTGTCACCTTTAGTAGGAAAAACGGACAATAACGAGTGGTACCACATAAGAACTGCATGGGCACTTCGACCTAGTGAGGCATGGAAAATGCCTCTTCTATTTGATGTTTTCATTAAAACCGGATTGAATTAGCCCTTTGCCATTCGCGTGATTTGATTGGAAACAGGCCATGTTCTATGAGCACGAAGGCGAATTAACCAGTGTTTTATTTAACCCCTGGTGCATGGATTTCGCAAATAATCATGACATAAGAACGACAGAATAAATTTTCCATTTGTTCCACAGGATGGACGTCAGCGATACAGTCTGTGTCAAACGGACGATAGACCATGAGAACACCAATACACCGATGGGTAAGAACGTGGATGGTCGACCATTAGGCCCTCATACTACATGCACTTTTGTATCGTTTTATTGTGCTGTTAGGATACGATATACCCTATCCAAGAACCTGAGATAGGACTATCCTAGCTGTTACAAACCAATAAATAAGAACAAAGTCGTTTGCAGGTAAAAGCACGTGCTTGTTCAATTCAGTTTCAATACAATACTCCCCCCCTTTTAAGAGAACGGAGTTCAGAAAAAAATGTTATTGTGTTAATAATATGGGAATGTTAAGCATATGTTACAAGTTCGTAACGGTAGGAGAAACGGACATGACGTCCGCTGCATGTAAGGAGAGGGGGATTTGGGATGGGGGAAAGCGGGGGGCTAGCACGTGTAAGTAGAGTCGTGGGTATAGGAATAGGCAATGTGCCGGGCGGAGGTTGTTTGGTTGGGGCCGTCGAAGGAGGATCGGTATAAGCTGCTTTCAGACGATCGACTGAGACCACGTCGGTGCGGCCGCCTCAGGCAATCGTAAAATGCTTGTCCGTACAAGATAGTACCTTATATGGTCCGTCGTAGGGTTGTTGTAGTGGTCGGCGAACA